AAAATACACAAATCAAACCCCAGCGACCAAAACAAGAATCATCCTAATCTTTTACTTACAGGCACTGAAATAAAGACATACATACATATTATACATACATACATATTATACATACATACATATTATACATACATACATATTATACATACATACATATTATACATACATACATATTATACATACATACATATTATATAATTTAATTGCAGTACAATGAGGAGTAAAGATAGGTATGTTCTGAGCCACGCCGAAGTGCCACTGCAGTGTAACGAGGACACGGCGGAGCACACACTCGCGTACTGCCCGGCTTTCGCAGAGCAGCGCCGCGTACTTCGGCTTTCTCGCAAAAATAGGTCCGAGCTTGTCGCTTCCGCGCGTCATGCGACAGGCGATGCTCGACTTCTGCGAGCTCACCATCTCACAGAAGGAGGCGACGGAAAGGAGCGGGAGAGCTCTTCTTCCCTCACGGCGCCGTGCTTTCGCCGTCGAGCCAGGGGTCGGAGCAGGGCGTTCGTACAGCTCCGGCCCCTGTGCGGAGGCAGTCTCCTCCCGGTCATGGTCACGGGTCGACCTGAGAGGGTTGAGGCTGCACCGCACGTATCGTCACCTTAGGCGCGCTGGCACCAGGAGGACGAGACGACGCGTCGGCAGCTGCGGCCTGCGATGCGGTCCGCATTGTCGTCGTCGCTGTCGTCGCCGAAAATACAGTGGAAGAGCAACCCGGTCGGCGGTGTATCGCGTTCCAACCCGGCAGGCTGGTTCTGGCCCAGCGGGGTATCCCGGAACACCAGCGGCATCGCCCGGGCGGCCTGGTATGGCCGCCGTACCGCAGAGACCGGCGTCGTTGGTCGTCGACTATCGCCTCTAAGACCCGTCGGTCGGGCGTCTTCGGGGTGGCGTCGCGTGTCTGGTTGTAGTGTTGATAGCGGGAACCCCCCTACTCTGTCCGGGTTCTGACCCCGGACGGAGTTCGGACGTCGGGTGTAAGAGTGCAGGGGAATCGTTTAATGCGGTAGGGCTCTAAAATTCCTTCGGCCCGCGGCCTGCTCCCAAAATCTGCAGATCGTCAAGTCCCACGCACCCCGCTCGCCCCCTAGGTGCGAGGACCTCGTAGAAGGTTCGGCCCCCGGACCGAAAAAAAGTATGTTCTGTCAATAGTCAATACCAAGGAACTGATGTTCTTTCTGAACCTATACATTAATTGGAAAGGGTCATTCCCTATTTACGTAATGAAGATCTTTGGCTATTATTTTCTTTACCTAGCCGTACGTAAGAACATAAGAGCTCTTAGAGTCATCATTTTCGGAACAAGCACAAAAACTTCGCAGAATTTTTAAAGTTGTGAAAAGAATGAAATTTTTACTGATGGTAAGACCTCTTATGAGTCCGCGTGGGTAGGTACCACCACCCTCCCTATTTCTGCCGTGAAGCAGTAATGCGTTTCGGTTTGAAGAGTGGGGGAGCCGCTGTAACTATACTTGAGACCTTAAAACTTATATCTCAAGGTGGGTGGCGCATTTACGTTGTGAATGTCTGGGCTCCAGTAACTACTTAACACCAGGTGGGCTGTGAGCTCGTTCACCCATCTGAGCAGTAAAAAAAAAGACGTGTGGCACTCGGAGACTGCTGCGGTAAAGCTATTGCATAGCATTTTTTATCAACTTATGTAATTATACCTAATTTTATTTATGCAGTATTTTTTCCCTTTCTTTTTCTTTGATATTAATTTAAGTTACACCTTTTGAGCGTGGTGACCGATAAGAAAACAATTTTTTTTCTTTTATTAAATAAATGAGAAGGTAATATTGTTCAAAATATTTTTTTATCTTACAATACATGTAGGTTATTCAGGAGTATTTATCATTGAAACTATAGGTTTATGGTAACTGAAATAAGAAACATAAGTTTGAGACTTGATATCTTCTAAATACCTGAAAAATACCGCGTCAATGGTGGTGCCATATTTTATTGTGGATTCTTGTGGATCATTATTCATTTTCAAATTCAATATTTTCGAAATAAAAGTTGTCAACCGCTCTGATTTTTTATCAGCGAAGTTGATATTGAAATCGCCAGCCAAGATAAGTAGTTATTACCATTTGTAACAAGTATTTTCGACCCTTCTTCAGTGTACTCCAGTAAAGTGCGATGAATAAAATGCTCTACCTCGTCTAATGTTGGACTCGGAGAAATGTCAATTGCTACCATGACTATGTGTAGGCCATTTCTAAGTTTGCATAAGCCAACATATACTTACAATTAATATCATAATATTCTTGTTATAAAAAAATTTCCTTAAATTGTTCGTTTATGTCTCCAAGTTAAGGCTGAGAAAGGTTTTGTTTGTTGTCCATAGATGGCGCTGTATTGTGACAAAGAAAAATACAAAAACGTTTCGTCACATTTACGGAGATATTCGTGAACACAAATGTGTTAGGTACTTACATGTTACTTAGAAGGTTTTGGCGGTTCGCATGGCGAGGCTCAATAAAATAATACAAATCATGCTGCGCATGCAGTGTGACGTCACGCCACGCGCTTATTCACAAACACTACACAAGCGCAACGTTTGAATGTGTTGAACGCGAGCTACATGGTAGGCGGAGTGAGGGGTGGAAGGTTTTTTTCATTACGGAATTTCATGATTCCGCTCTCAAGCCGCGCTCAAGGCCCGCGATAAAATCTTAAATAGCAATAGCTTAAAAACTCTATCTATCTTTGTTTCCTAACTCCGCTTATCGTGCCGCGCCGCTTTTTCAAAGTAGCGTCCTAACGCTTTCTTAAGGTAACTGCGTATAGGTTTTAGATTTAGGTCGTCGTGAAGATCTACATTCCTCACTTACCACGGTGCTCCGATGGCTATCCCGCAGAAACGGAGTAGGATGACCTGGACAGAGTTGATGTCGGTACGGGCCGCGTGAGCGATCTCTACACTTGGAAATTATGGGGTAGAGTCGCCCGACTAGGAACTCGGCTCGGTAGCATACTGACTTAATGAGGGGCCCGAATGTCATCCCTCTGTCGAGGTTTTGGCCTTCGAGGCCCACCGTCTTGACTGGCGAAAGATTTTGATGGCAGGAATACAGTTACAGCGCATAATTCTGGACGATATAGGTACCTGCTATTAATGTTGTCGGGAGGTATCTACTATAGTAGAATTATTTTGTCCGTGCAGTTTGGGACATAAAAAATCGGAGCGTTGAAGCGAGTATTTCGCTCTCTCTTCCACTCACGAGCCTCATGGACGGACATAGTCATGCGCATTATTGTTGTGGATAAGCGTTGTCGATAGTGTATTTAATTTTGTCATTTTGTGGGTTAGTGATAAAAATCAAAGAAAAAATTACTAACACCACATATCGCAACAAGTTAACGAGAACGGCAGAAATTAACACTTTGTAACTTTTCGGGAACTATTTTTATTTCAGTGAATTTTAACAAATTGTTGATATCAACACGTGCAAATATTATTTTGAATAAATTCTGCCGTTTTGATACAAAACAAAGGAGTAGCCACTGTGTCACTAAAAAAAATCAGAGATCGAATGCATAAAAGCACATTTCTCTTCGACATAATGTACTATAATTTGCAGGTAAGTACAAATGACTCATAACATAACAATGTCTCACCACCCTTCGTATACCACCCCGCCGCCGTGTACCTGCCTTCGATGACTCATTTGTTTTTATCGATAATGGCGTTGCGCTCGCGCAACATGCTCACCGCCCTAGCCGGGCTATGTTTTATGACCCAAAGTGCACGGACAAAATAATTCTACTATAAATATTATTTTATGTCAATGTGGACGTAAAATTAAAAGATGGTAATTATTTTAATTGTAATTATTATGCTATAAAATAAGCTTTAAGACACGAATAAGATATTATTTTAATTGTAATTATTATGCTATAGAATAAGCTTTAAGACAAGAATAAGATTTAGGAGTTATTTTGATATAATGGTTTAGGGCGTTATCGGAAGTGAGATAGTTAAATAACACAACTGGTTAATCGGAGCGTTTATTCGCGACTGAAATTAAAAAGTAAAAAGCAACGGAGCTTGCGGGTGCAGCCGCAAGTTATGACTACGAACAATTTTGTTTACATAACAAACTGCGTCCCTACCAATAAATATAATAGAAGATAATATAACAATAATAAATTAGAAAACATAAAAATACATTCATCGACACATTTAGACAAAAGCAAAATATTGGCTTACGAGCAATTAATACGAGTGACAAATATAACTTTTTCTTATTATTACCCTTGTAGACAAACGAGCTTACAACCCACCTGATAGCGAAATACTGTCCTTGCTAGGGCTAGTGTTAGCTGGTTTGATAGGCTGAAACCCGTGAGCTCACCTACACGTTCGGTGAAGCTAGTATAACTACTTAAGGCTACCAGCAAAGGTAGGTAAAAGAAATTTTCAGGAATTACCTATATTTGCGACAGTTAGGTTAATAATAATAATAATAAATATTTAATAACAATCACACCACGTTAATTGGTCCCGTGATAAGTTCGTAAAGAACTTGTGTTACAGGTACCAGATAACGGAAATAAATGTAAGATTTTTATTTTACACATACATATATTTAAGATACATCCAAAACCCTGGAAAATACATTTATATTTATCATACAAATACCTTCCCTTGGCGGGATTCGAACCCGCGACCCCTTTGTGTAGTGACCATGTCACTTACCACTAAAGACGAAAGATAAATTAATAATCTACTTTTTAAGTATAATCTACGATAGACGCCTATCGTACTATATACTACATACTATATACTACATACTACTATATACTATATTATTTGAATTAGCAAAGACAACACACAATTAAAAGTTTACTATTTTTTTGACTAGTTTGCTTTAGATTTCATTGTCTACAAAAGTAAGAAAAGTAAAAATGGAAGACAAGAACTGTCAAAAATGTTGATGGACATTGGACATGTTATTTTACTGTCATGCAGTGTGAAACATAAATAAAGCATATTAGTTTTTCGAAAAATCATGACTTAATACTCAGGCCTAATCTACTATTATGAAATAATTTAATTAATTACATTACTGCCACTTCTATATGTGTTTTAATTAATGACATTATGGATGGTTTAATTCACGCGGCATTGGAAGCTGAGGTATTTCGTTGCTTTCTTTTATTTACCATGCTTACTTTTAATTATAAACTGTATTGTTAATTAATTCTACTTATTCGTATTGCAGGTAATTCTTAACCGGGCAAAACATGTGAATTCAAATTTATCACAATTTGGCAGTGGTGTCACAGAGCATAAAATGACTTGGACCCATGATAAGATGCATCTTGCAGAATCAGTGGACGATACTAGAATGAAATTTCAGAGAAATTCGGTTGGTTCAGCATCTAAAGCTACTGAAAAATTTGACCTGTTCAAAAAGCTCCATGAACTTCACAATGAGTTAAGCAGAGATGAATCTTTGCAGGCCAACTATGTAAGTTTGTAGGGTTTCTAATTTTTCATTCACAGAATTCTTCTGTAAATTAAGTAACAGAAATTCAAATGTATTTACTTAAATCTATTATTACTACTACTACTACTTAAATCTACTATTTACTTAAATCCGTGATGGTTTCATTTTAATGGGTTTGTGATAAATAGAAAATTTGGCATTAGATTAAGCTTGCATGCCTGTTTTATCTTAAATTTGTGTATCAGTAAAACTGATTTTTTTAAAACTATACAATGATTTACATTTCATACTAGTTATGTTTTTCAGTATAATATTTTTGTAATTAATTTTTATACTAAATTATCTTTGAACTAAATGTATTTCATTATATTTTGACTCTGTGGTGCAGTAGTTAGCACCCCTGACTGTTGTGTTGAGAGTTGTTGGTTCGATTCCCACATCAGGCAAACATTAGTGTGATGGGCAGGTTTGTTAGCTCTTTATCTGGCTGTTTATTATTTATGTATGTATACTGGGTGTTAGGAGACCCTTTTCGAAAACAAAGACAGACCATAGTACTAATGACATCTTTGATGATGGGACGGAAAAAAAAATCAATCCTGGTTTAAAAAAAATCGTATTTTTAAAACATTTTATTAGCATTATTTACACTCCATCATGTTAGTACAGCTAAATGAAACGATAGTTTCATAAAAATACAGTACTTTACTTTAAAAAAAGCCAGCATTGAAACACAAAATCGAAAACAGCTGATGCTCGGATCAATGAACGCCCAGGTGCGGCGTTTCTATTACACCCGCATCGGTGCGGCGCGGCGGGGGTGCTGCGCTCATACCGCGATTCCGAAAATTTTCAACTTTGTAGGTACAAAATTTTGTTTTTCGGAAGCGGTCTCTGAACACCCATTATATTTAAACATATGACAACATATACACGTTTATTAGTCTCTGATACCCATAACACAGGGAGTCTTAATTTGGGGCTGGATGACCACACATGATTTGTTTCCAATTATTTATTTATTAAATTTATTGATTAAATTAGTTATTCTAAAGTAATAATGTCAAGACATACTTATTTAAGATATTTTAATTCCACAGCAAGGTCTTAAGACAACATCTTATCTATTGGAAAAATTATTAGCCAATTACAATTTAAATACACTAATAATCAATTTATACCCTGGTAATAAAGGGTATTCATTATCTCTGAAAGTTAATGGAAATATGCAGTGTTTGAACCCACCAGATGGCCATGTAAGTAAATACATTATTACCATATACCCAACTATTTGTAGTAGATATGTGTATGATATATATTGAGGGGTGAAAGGCTATTCCGTTTCAGTTACATTTTTGCTAGTTTTAGTACTAGAAGAGGCTTTGAATAACCCTTGACAGCTTTCATCCTTTGAGTGTCTGCACATGCAAATACAGTTTAGTATAAAAACTGTTGTTTTTGTGTATAATCCATTTACGTAATTAGCCATGGGGCTCATACCATCTGCTAATACTATACTAAATCACCTTCTTTCATATATCTAACTTGAACAATCATAGAGCAGAAGAAAGTTATGATGAAATCAAATGTTTCAAAGTTGACATTCACTATGGTGCTCATGGATTTTGCTTACTGTTAAAAATCAGGTAGGCAGTGATTTTGCCTGCACATTCACATTCTAGTATGATAGACATTCAATCAGTATGAACAAGATCCCAATCAGTATGAAGGTTTTTGGGAATGAAGTGTTTTTGTAATTCTTAAATGGTGTATTGAATATAGTGCTATTTTGGTATTCACCTTGCATTCATGTTGTTGTTGTGTAATCCACAAATTGGTGAACGGTCATTATTCATCTGCTAGTTGACAAACATTATCTTTTATACAAAGATCGTATTTTATTGAATTGTATCAATTTGTAGTCAAAGGTGTCCGATGTCATATTGTGACAGTGTAATTAATGTAAATTAAAAATAAAACATTGATTTAAATATATATTTTTTTAAATTTCATAGCATATCAGATCAAAATAACGTAATAAAATTCAATAATTGTGAATGTGAATGCACTCAAATAAAAAAAGGGTGCGTGTACTTATGTACGCGNTTTTATTGAATTGTATCAATTTGTAGTCAAAGGTGTCCGATGTCATATTGTGACAGTGTAATTAATGTAAATTAAAAATAAAACATTGATTTAAATATATATTTTTTTAAATTTCATAGCATATCAGATCAAAATAACGTAATAAAATTCAATAATTGTGAATGTGAATGCACTCAAATAAAAAAAGGGTGCGTGTACTTATGTACGCGCGTAAGAAGTTTTTTTTTTTTTTTTTTTAAATATTAAATAATTATTAATAATATTTAACGTTAATAATTAAATAATATTTAGTATGAATTATATTAAATAATAATTTTGTCATTTATATTACTAAAAAATGAATGCTAATAACACTTTTTTTACGAGTGTACATGCGCGAAAGTTCACCTGCGGCTATATTCAGACTCGCCAAGTTACGTCGGTCGTATTGTATTGAGCGATTTAGTGGGCAACTTCATTGTGTTAATTTTGTGTCACGGTGCACGCGCATCGTAAAATTTCACTCTCATAAAATTTTCATAACACGCCTAAAGAAGTATAACTTCAAAAAGTTATTATTAATTTTTTCATTCTCACATGACCAGACTTCAGCGACTCAAGATGAAACTTTAATAGAAACTCCTCGATGGCCATATGAAGAGGAAGAGCTGTTAAGTTATATAGACAATGAAGAGTTACCTGTTATGCTGTTGGACTTGCTGGAATCAGAACACTCCTGTCTCTTTTATTCGGGATGTATCATAGCGCAGATTAGAGATTACAGACAAGCATATCCCAGTTTTCTTTGTGATACACATCATGTACTTTTAAGGCCCACCAATCAGGTAACTTGTGCTTTGTGTTTTCAATTCGTTTATTTTAAGCTGGTACTTTTAAAAATAAAGATCGCTGTTGTCCTTTGAAGCTTCTACAGTACGAGAGCTTGATTTTTGTTTGTGTCCTTTGGCTTTTACAATACTGCAACAGTGAATAATAATAATCGAAGTTTCAAGATTTTAATTATATCAAAATAATGGCTTCATAAATTATCAATGTTACTAGCTAACCCGGCAGACTTCATAGTGCCTCAATCGATAAATAAAATACCTAAACTTTTGAATAAAATAAACTTAAAACAAACAAAAGTAATCCGTCGAACGGGGGACACATCAAAGGGAAAACAAATATGTTATTTTTATTTAATTCCGAGTATTTTCATATTTTACTACCTTTTAAACCTTCTCTGGACTTTCACAAATAATTCAAGACTAAAATTAGCCAAATCGATCCAGCCGTTCTCGAGTTTTAGCTAGACTAACGAACAGCAATTCATTTTTATATATATATATAGGTATAATAATATGTATAGATAAGAGCTAATCTAACTTTTTTCTCATTGAGATTCTGTTCATAGTTTCTATGTTTTGAATGTAAATGCATTTTTTTTCTAGAGCATTATAACTGATGCTATGTGCATCGGAGGTCGATGTGGCTGGTCAGGTGAAGAGCGGAGTGCATTAGAGGCAGTAGAGGCGGCTTTGGTGCACGCGGCCGCGCCCCCCTTGTGCCTCGACCCGCGCCCCGCTGTCGGCTTGCTCGCCGCTCGGCTCCACGCTGCCCCTAGATTATTTAATACGCCTCGAATAAGGAGACAAGCTAAAAAATTCTCACAGGTTCATATCAATCTTTACTAATTTATGATGATGTATTTTTTAAGAGCAACGTAATCAACTCAATACTTGAGACCTTAAAACTTATATCTCAAGGTGGGTGGCGTATTTACGTTGTAGATGTGTATGGGCTCCAGTAACCACTTAACACCAGGTGGGCTGTGAGCTCGTCCACCCATATAAGCAATAAAAAAAAGAGCAGCAAAAGAAAAACTACTACAGTTCAATTTTGAAATCTGTTTATATAATTTCACAACATAAAAGTCGTAAAAAATCTTTTGTAATAATTCATTTGTTTTATCTATAAGTTCATAGACTGCTAAATTAGCGTATCTTTAATGATATTCTGTTTACAGGTAGCAGTAAATAGGAAAAGAAAATTAGATCAATTTACACATTACCATGGATTAGAATTATTAGATTTAATACATCGGCAAAGAGCGAAAAGCAGTAGACAATCAGTACCTCACACGCGACTTACATCCAAATATCCTAAGAAACCACCAGAGGTACAAATCAAAGTGAATCTTTTGACATTGGTCCTAATTTAGAATTAAGAATAATCAATCTCCATGTATTCCAGGTGTTCAAGCCAATAGAGCCTCCTAAGATGGAGCCTTTACCTTTAGCGCTGCCATCAGAACCTAGTAGTCCGCTTCGTCTTGCTCGTGCTTACGAAAGACCTCGGGCGATACCTGACTGCCAACCTCAGCTAGTCGAAGAATATATCCTGGAGACTGAAAAGACATCACCCCATGCAGGCGCTGGGTACTTCCACATAAAACTCTCTATACTACAAAGGCCGTCCGACCAAGAATTCCTAGGAGAGCTATACGTGGACAGAGACCACGTTGAAGGAGAGAGAAACGGTGCAGCCTGCCGATTTACTTTAGGTACTTAATTATTTTATACTAGGACCAGCTGTACCCGTCATTAAAAATTAAATTAACATTTAAAATTAACATTATTATTTCTCACCCCCACAAAGATTTTCATCATTAACGCCCCCGCAACTGGTGTAGGGAGTCCAAAACCCATATAAATAATAGCCTATCCATTAAGTATATGTATTTTCTACATGGATACGAAGTTTCAAGTCAATCGGATGCATGGTTCAGTAGTTATAACGGAACATCCGTAAAAACCACTGTAGATTTATATATTAGTATAGATTTAATGTGGGGTGACATGTACCTAAAATCGTCATTACTTTGAAATGTTGCTGTAAAATCATTTCCTTTTTACAGGATCCAGAGTACAAGCGAATAAGTATATACAACAGTTTACGGAGATATTTACGGAAGAAGGTCGCAAATCTGTTAGAATAAAACATATTGTTCCAGGACAGTTACCGAGAGTTTCTTTCACTGGTGGCATGAGAGAATTGGTAAAAAAAAGAAATTTATTTTTGCTTAAGCGAATAACACAATTATAATACATTGAAAATGAACATGAACTATTATGAAGCTGATCAATCGGCTAACAAAACCGTCATTATTTAATATATGAAGTCGTCGTAGCCTAAAGGATAAGACGCCCGGTGCATCCGTATCTAGTGATGCGACTATGCCGGTGTTCGAATCCCGCAAGTAGGTACCAATTTGTCTAATGAAGTAAGTACTTAACAAATGTTCACGAACAATTTCCACGATTAAGGAATAACATCATGTAATAAAATCCAAACCCGACAATATTATAACTTGTCGGATCGTTAGTTCCAGTGATACGAATCGGTCGGTATACGATACGGTTTCGATCGTAACCGTTTTGTTAGCTTGCTCCCCTCTAGATGGAGTTAGTTGTACTTACTGGCGATAGGACCTCTTGTGAGTCCGCACGGGTAGGTACCATCACCCCGCCTATTTATGCTGTGAAGCAGTAATGCGTTTCGGTTTGAAGGTGGGGCAGCCGTTGTAACTATACTTGAGACCTTAGAACTTATATCTCAAGTTGGGTGGCGCATTTATTTCGTAGATGTCTATGGGCTCCAGNTTTACAGGTAGCAGTAAATAGGAAAAGAAAATTAGATCAATTTACACATTACCATGGATTAGAATTATTAGATTTAATACATCGGCAAAGAGCGAAAAGCAGTAGACAATCAGTACCTCACACGCGACTTACATCCAAATATCCTAAGAAACCACCAGAGGTACAAATCAAAGTGAATCTTTTGACATTGGTCCTAATTTAGAATTAAGAATAATCAATCTCCATGTATTCCAGGTGTTCAAGCCAATAGAGCCTCCTAAGATGGAGCCTTTACCTTTAGCGCTGCCATCAGAACCTAGTAGTCCGCTTCGTCTTGCTCGTGCTTACGAAAGACCTCGGGCGATACCTGACTGCCAACCTCAGCTAGTCGAAGAATATATCCTGGAGACTGAAAAGACATCACCCCATGCAGGCGCTGGGTACTTCCACATAAAACTCTCTATACTACAAAGGCCGTCCGACCAAGAATTCCTAGGAGAGCTATACGTGGACAGAGACCACGTTGAAGGAGAGAGAAACGGTGCAGCCTGCCGATTTACTTTAGGTACTTAATTATTTTATACTAGGACCAGCTGTACCCGTCATTAAAAATTAAATTAACATTTAAAATTAACATTATTATTTCTCACCCCCACAAAGATTTTCATCATTAACGCCCCCGCAACTGGTGTAGGGAGTCCAAAACCCATATAAATAATAGCCTATCCATTAAGTATATGTATTTTCTACATGGATACGAAGTTTCAAGTCAATCGGATGCATGGTTCAGTAGTTATAACGGAACATCCGTAAAAACCACTGTAGATTTATATATTAGTATAGATTTAATGTGGGGTGACATGTACCTAAAATCGTCATTACTTTGAAATGTTGCTGTAAAATCATTTCCTTTTTACAGGATCCAGAGTACAAGCGAATAAGTATATACAACAGTTTACGGAGATATTTACGGAAGAAGGTCGCAAATCTGTTAGAATAAAACATATTGTTCCAGGACAGTTACCGAGAGTTTCTTTCACTGGTGGCATGAGAGAATTGGTAAAAAAAAGAAATTTATTTTTGCTTAAGCGAATAACACAATTATAATACATTGAAAATGAACATGAACTATTATGAAGCTGATCAATCGGCTAACAAAACCGTCATTATTTAATATATGAAGTCGTCGTAGCCTAAAGGATAAGACGCCCGGTGCATCCGTATCTAGTGATGCGACTATGCCGGTGTTCGAATCCCGCAAGTAGGTACCAATTTGTCTAATGAAGTAAGTACTTAACAAATGTTCACGAACAATTTCCACGATTAAGGAATAACATCATGTAATAAAATCCAAACCCGACAATATTATNCCGTCATTATTTAATATATGAAGTCGTCGTAGCCTAAAGGATAAGACGCCCGGTGCATCCGTATCTAGTGATGCGACTATGCCGGTGTTCGAATCCCGCAAGTAGGTACCAATTTGTCTAATGAAGTAAGTACTTAACAAATGTTCACGAACAATTTCCACGATTAAGGAATAACATCATGTAATAAAATCCAAACCCGACAATATTATAACTTGTCGGATCGTTAGTTCCAGTGATACGAATCGGTCGGTATACGATACGGTTTCGATCGTAACCGTTTTGTTAGCTTGCTCCCCTCTAGATGGAGTTAGTTGTACTTACTGGCGATAGGACCTCTTGTGAGTCCGCACGGGTAGGTACCATCACCCCGCCTATTTATGCTGTGAAGCAGTAATGCGTTTCGGTTTGAAGGTGGGGCAGCCGTTGTAACTATACTTGAGACCTTAGAACTTATATCTCAAGTTGGGTGGCGCATTTATTTCGTAGATGTCTATGGGCTCCAGTAACCACTTAACCCAAGGTGGGCTATGAGATCGTCCACCCATCGAAACAAAAAAAAAAAAAAATTGTTATTGTTGCGTGCTATTCGTTAGTGCCACTATTCCCCAAAATATGGCTGTCGTTGTTTTCGATATCATCTTATATAATATTATGTAATCGTGAAATATTATAAATCATCAATGAATGTTAATAAAGGTAACTTGAAAGGTAATTATGAATTAAAAAGATTAAACATAATTTCATGTCGCTTGGCAATATTTTGTGTGATATATTTTGTATTGTACTTCAACTGACCCGATATTTGAATTTAATATTTCAGTGTTAAAATCACATAATATATATAGATATCAATATACAGAATCAGTAGGAGTTCGCTATCCCAAAATATATCTAAAAACTTACAGTACTATAAAAGGAGCGATATATAAATTTTAATCTAATGGGATTTTTTTTTAAATGATTAATAAAATAATTACAGCAAAGAAACGCAGCCGCCGCAGCTGCAGCCGCTGCAAACAACGCCACCGTGCAAACGCACACCGCAATTGTACCGGTCGTGTAAGTCGACACATATTTTTTTCTCTCCAGTGTGCTTAGTGCGAGTTTTTTAACGTTCTCGATAGCGTAAAAGTTAGCTCATATTTGTATGGAATGGGATCGTTTGCCTACGTTTGCCGCTAGGGGCGCTGTTCCAACTGCATACAAAATTGGGTTAACTTTTACGCTATCGAGAACGTTAAAAAACTCGCACTAAGCACATTGATCTACTCAGGTCGGGTCGCGATTCTGATAGTATATTTATTTGCGAAGCAGCTGCCCATGAGTTGCTAGGTCTCCTTCGGAGAGGCCTGGGCAGCTGTTAGCAAATCCCACCTCTCCTGGCTGAGCCCATGCTCGCCCACCTGTCCTGGTGAAACCGGAAAGCTCTCCGGACTATCAGTAATCATTCGCTAAAAAAAAAAAATTTTTTTATTAGCCACGGCGCAATAGTTTATAAACCATACAGTAGAAAGTGTACTCGAGTTTCTCATACAAAGATGGCAACATTTTAAAACAACTAACTAATTAATGTATTTTCATAATAATTATATTACATTAATAATTTTTATAATGGAAAGACATTTTTGGAACTGATCATAATAAATAGATAACGAATTGGCACGAAAAAGTTAGAATTAAAACAAAGATTATAATTAAAAAATATAATTGAATGGATTAAAGTGGTTGCAACGTTGTATGCGGTCTGATAATGAAACTCGGGGGCTATCTTTTTAAATTGTTCAAACAACCTTATTTCTAATACAATTATCATCGTTTTTTATTATAAAAATTTCTCTAATTTCTGTAATGTCCATCAAATTTTTTTTGATATTGAAAACGTAGTGTAGTATACTTACCTAAATAGGGTTATACTATATTTATTTATTATTTTATGACAGAACCACAGCTGCGTCCGCAACTACAAATACTCACAGCAATGCCCGAGCTCTTCCTATACTGGTGAGTCGCGGATTGATCACACCGATTATTTCGTTTTATCGTCATACGTATAATAATATGTCTGGCATATGTGATATTCAGTTTGAAATGCACTAAAATGAATAAATTAATAGGTCATAAGCTGCTGTTCGCAATTACTTTAGTTTTTATCTACCTATATGAATTGTATTATATTACGTATGTATAGTTATCACTGTTAACTTTATATTTTGACAGCAGGCACAGCTACAGCAAGCTGCCACCGTAAGCGGAGTAGGAAACGTCGTGGCCAGTGTGGGCACGATAGGAAACGTGGGCAGCGTTGGCAGCGTGGGCAACGTTGGCAATGTTGGCGGAGTTGTGACCAACGTGGGCACGGTTAGCGGCGTCGTCGGTAACGTCGTCGGCTCCGTGAACACGAATACAGATACCGCATTAAAACAACAACCATCTCCTACAACGCCCCGTTTGTCACCACAGGTTAGATAGAAAACACATAGTATTAATAATGTAATCTTTCCGTGGTTAGTATAGATTAGATTAGTGCGTAGAAAAATGTGAACTCGTCGTGGCCTAAAAGATAAGGCGCCTGGTGCTTTCGTTTCAAACGATGCGGCTGTGCCGGTGTTCGAATCCTGCAGGCAGGTGCCAATTTTTCTAATGTAATATGTACTTAACGCGTATTTACAATTGACTTCGACGAAAATCAAATTATAATTTACAGTAAAAGCTCATTGTTCGCGCTTCCTTGATTGTCGTTTTTACAATTTGCGGATTATACAATTGAGACCCAATTCCTATATTCGCGGTTACAGTTTGTTTTATTCGCGGATCTAATCGGTACATCGGTACATACATACATACACATTGATAAAAAGGATTCTAATATGTACGTATTAAACCAAATGTACTGCAAGTGTGTCGTAAAATGGACTAATAAATATGTAAAATAGACCTTATTAAAACTTTGCCTAAAGTATGCTTTTAAATGACATCGCCGCTGTATTTGTTCCGCCTTTGACACAAGTCGTTTTTGAGAATAAAACAAACGGAACTAAATCAACCTTATTACTCAATGCGCTTCCCTTATAATAGCATAAATGTAAATTACCATTCCATATTCGCGACATATTAACGGAAGATATACCCAGCGAATAAAGAGCTTTTACTGTACATAATTTTCGGTGCTTGCACGGGAGGTGCACCCCCACTTTGCCCATTTCTGCCTCGAAGCAGTAATGCGTTCCGGTATGAAGGACGAGTCAGCTATTGTACTATAGAACTCGTATCTCAAGATGGATGGCGGCTTTACGTTGCTACATCAAAGAAAACGATTGTGATTTGCGTATTTCATTTGTCAGCAGGCATCAACGAATCAGCTATTAGCGCAACAGCTAACGAATCCCCCTCAGCCGCTCAACACGCCCAAGATGCAGTCAGCAATAATACACATACAGCACCCTCTGATGTCAACGGCGAGCGCTACTCAGGTGCCGAACTAAACCAGCGAACCGAACGAAGCTATTCTCGTTCTGTGGGCTTAGTGCGAGTTTTTTAACTTCTCGATCGCGTAAAAGTTAACCCAAATTTGTATGGAGTCGGACCCATAGACACAGCCTACTGAGTTTCTCGCCGGATCTTCTCAGTGGGTCGCGATTCCGATCCGGTGGTAGATTCTGTTTAGCACTGCTCTTGCTAGTATTAGCAAATTCCCTAAGGTTAAGCCCTTGAGCTCAACTACCCGTCCGGGCGTATTGGAATAACCTCATAGGTCAGGGAATAGGTAGGGAAAAAAATTGAGTTAGAACAGCGCCCCTAGCGGCAAACGTAGGGAAGCTGTTCAAACTCCATACAAATTTGAGTTAACTTTTACGCGATAGTGAAGTTAAAAAACTCGCACTAAGCACACTGTTTACAGAATGTTTAATTACCAAGAAATGCTTAGCGAGAGTAGCTTAGCTGGTTTTAAATGTAGCGTTAAGTTTCGACGTTAGTGACATAGAGAAATTCTAGATTTTAATCTTTCTAAGTCAACCTTGATTCTAATCTTAAGTATAGATTTCATTAAGTAATGTATACAGAGAAATATAGCCGAGACTCCTAGAAAAATACTCGTATCTGTATAGAAGTTGGGTTTTCGATAAGTAGAACCGATTTATCGATAACCGATTATCGTGCGTGTCTGTCACGCTAATGGTTCCATACTTAACGCAAATCACTTTTTTTTTTAGTTTTTGTATAAGGGCTATTCTATATAGTAGTAACCTAATAGTAATTTTGTTTTATTGTGTTTGAAACGAATAGTGAGTGATCATCGATTCCGGGACACAGCGAAGCCGCTGTTTACTCCTATTTTCATTCGCCATTTTTTGGTCAGATTAATTAAATAACTTCATTATTATGTATTCAATTTTAACAAATATAAACACGTTCAATACGAGTTTTTTTTAGTAGCGTAGTCCATTTTTTTACAGGTACAAAATATTCAATACACGAACACATCGACGACACAACAGAAGACGACCGCCGCTAAACCAAGAACAACGAATCCGGCGATAACCGCTCTCGTAACTAGTCTAATGAATTCAGCACAACAGTACTGCAACCAACAAGGTATTCTAATATTTCTATTGGTTAGTATCTTACGGTATTGCGTTATAAATCACATTGAAGTTATACGCGAGCTCATTTCAACGATTCCATTATACAACTCAGGGTCGAGTAACTTAATTTTTTTTTGTTATTATTAATATAGTAGTTTATTACGGCTTCGGAAACTGGTCCCTTGCGCTATAATAATAATCGTGCAGTTCATTCATGAGATTAAATTTATAAATGTCACCTTGCCGTCTACTCTGCTCTTTGGTTAGATGATAGATACTTTCCTTTAGGTTGTAGATGTTGTAGGTGTAGGTTGTGTTATAGGTACACCCTATAGTTTATTTGTGCACTGAAGAGTTATCTATTTATCAATGAAATGAGGAGCTATATGTGATCATTTAATCGATTAACGATTATCGACTAACGATATTATCTCTATACGAGCCTCTCTATATAGTTATAAATTTAAATAAAATGCGCGGGCAACTAAGGTGATCCTTATTGAGAGCCAACTTTTACCACGACCGCTCGATAAAGTGTTACATGAAAGTGACGAAACTTGTTCGATTGTTTTCAGCGGCAGCGAACCAGAACGCGGCTAAATCAGTTGTGAGCACGGCGAGCAGTAACCCGACGATACTGAACCTACTCAACAGTGCCCCGGCGGCCATGACCCACGTCACGTCCAGCACCGAGAACTCTATAGACGCCCACAAGCTGCTCGGCAGGGTCTCCCTAGCCGGGGCCAGGCTGATAGCCGCCACCACTGCCTCGCACACCATACCTACTTACACTCAGCAGGTCAGCCTCTATTGATCTGGAAGGCACTGACCTTATGGTTTTTTTATTATTACTTAGATGGGTGGACGAGCTCACAGTCCACCCGGTGTTAAGTGGTTACTAGAGCCTCTACAACGTAAATGCGCCACCCACCTTGAGATATAAGTTCTAAGGTCTCAGTATAGTTACAACGGCTGCCCCACCCTTCAAACCGAAACGCATTACTGCTTCACGGCAGAAATAGGCAAGGTTGTGGTATCTACCGGCGCGAACTCACAAGAGGTCCTCCCACCAGTAAAAGTGGCAGTTGAACATTGAATAAAAAGCACTCAGTGAATCAAGGTTCGCTCATTTGTATAGAAATTGGATATCGCGTTTGACTTTAAAATCATTGGTGGTTTGGCGAGATAAAATTTCGTAATCTAAACGGGGTCAGTACATTTCTGATTACATTTTGTTTATTGAGATTTTTCGGCAAAATTTGCCCAAAAAATGACTACGTCGATTTTACTAATGTGTTTTGCTTATTTACCGATATAACCTTTTGGAAGACCGTAAGTGTCCGCACCGTGTAATCAACTACCGAACTTGAGCTGTGGTTTCTACGTCACGCTTTAAGATTACACACATAGTGGTGAAGCTTACGTAATTTAGCCGGAACATAAAATATAAGTTTGTACACAATAAAAAAATAATCTTTCAAAATATACATAATGTTACAGGGAGTCGGCGTTCAAGTAATGAGTGGGTATACCCGGGACAGCGAAGCAATTAACGTGTCGAGTAGTGAAAGCGCGTTATTAGAACGGTTGATAGGATCAGATGCACCCAACGCGTCAGCCTCACAACCACAACCTGTTTGTCATTTGCAGGTCGGTAATACTCATATACACTCGCGAGCAAAAGTTTGGAATCACTTACTTGAAATTGGTTCCGAGCGATCTTGTGTACTAAATATTTTTTTGATAATCATAAAAATGAGATCATTTTAAAGGTTGAGCTCTTAACTTTAAACTGATACCAAATTCATTAAAATCAAGCCAGTATTTAAGAAGTTATCTTGGATTAAGTGAAGGAATAACGAAAAAGACGTGTTTCAATTGCTTGATACGTCGCGAGTTGCGGCCTATTGACCCCTATAAAAGCACCTGTTATCGGATTTTCTTTATCAGTCGACTTTCACACGTTGACCGGTACATATCTCGGCTACTTTTGACCCTTTACCTTGTACGACAATTGGGACAACACCTACAGAAGTAGCACAAATCGTAGCCCTATTGCTAGAAGAGCTTAGCCAGCGGTATGTCGCTCGTCGGCTCCAAATAAGCCATTCCTGTGTTTCAAAAGTTTGCAAGCGCTTTCAAGAGACTGGTAGCTTTATCCCGAGACCAAGATCTGGACGGCGCCGGGGCACATCGGAGAGGAATGACCGTTTTATCGTGTTAACCTCTCTCCGAAATCGGCATTAACCTGGTGTCGACGTCCAACAGGAGCTCCGAGATGNCGATAACTTTAGATAATTAAGTAGAATAGAGTTCAATAATTATAATTTAAGTTATTTTTATTTTTATGTAGATTATACTTACACCTAATATTTGTACGCTTTACTAGCAGGACATAGTGATACATTTATTAATATTAACTTATTAATCTTTGTTAACCTATGACCACAAATAATAAATAAATAAATAAATAAATAAATAAATAAATAAATAAATAGAGATTTTTCGGCAAAATTTGCCCAAAAAATGACTACGTCGATTTTACTAATGTGTTTGGCTTATTTACCGATATAACCTTTTGGAAGACCGTAAGTGTCCGCACCGTGTAATCAACTACCGAACTTGAGCTGTGGTTTCTACGTCACGCTTCAAGATCTACACACATAGCGGTGAAGCTTACGTAATTTAGCCAGAACATAAAATATAAGTTTGTACACAATAAAAAAATAATCGTTTAAAATATACATAATGTTCCAGGGAGTCGGCGTTCAAGTAATGAGTGGTTATACCCGGGACAGCGAAGCAATTAACGTGTCGAGTAGTGAAAGCGCGTTATTAGAACGGCTGATAGGATCAGATACACCCAACGCGTCAGCCTCACAACCTCAACCTGTTTGTCATTTGCAGGTCGGTAATACTCATATATAAAACTGATTTATAAATTACGATTTGATCAAACATTGGCGTTGGCTAAGTTAAACGTTGGCTAAAGTTCGATGGGTTCTTATGACGGTATGGAGATATATGGAAATTATAAGGAGATTTAGTTCAGTATTCGGTTATAAAATACCTTCAAAATACACTCATAGTGTTAGATACATGCAACCTCACATTGCTGCCCATTTTATACTCGCACGACAGTAAATTCACTTACAAATTGTGCTTATGATTTATGTGACTGTTATCAAACAGCTGATACACTTAATCATGACCAGGAAACTCCAATGAACATTGTACGAACGTTGGCCAATATCGCTCAACACGAGTTCTGGTAACCAAAGAGACAAAGAACAAAACGTTGCGCGTGCAAATTGATGCACATGAAAGAAGTGAAACTTCTTATGCGCTATGTAGTATTATGGTTTTCTTCATTTTTCATTATTAAATCAACCAATCGAATTGTACTTTTCCTCTCCACGTTCGAGTTGTTCGTGAGACATATATTTTCTCGTTCTCGCTCGTCCTAAATTGTATCTTTTCTCTCTAGCCATAAACGAATCTGTCGCGAGTTAAATTTTACTCTCAACTCGCCTAAAGAAGTTGCACTTCAAAAAAACAATCGTCTTCATTTTCAGGGTTTAAGTTTAGCGTCCTTACAAGGCTTACAAGGAATTCAAGGTCTACAGAACGTTCAGGTTCAGATCCCGGGTCTCTCGGCGCCGATATCATTGTCTTTGAACGTGTCCGGGGCACCCAGCGGCCTGCTCGTCTCCGTACCGCCCACCACTTCGGTCGTGCTAACGAATCAACCGTCGGTACTGTCGCTGCCAATTGGTGAGTATCGTCATAGCGTTAGTACCATTGGAAAATTGCGCTTTTTTGCCTATCTATCTGTCAGAAGCCTTGAGAGGTTATTCTAGTTTCACATTGATCAATGGACGAGCTTACGGGGCTCAGCCTGAAATAATTTGTTAATATATGCCTTAGCAAGAGCAGGGCTTCGCTGAAGCTATCATCGGAAACTAAGCGGGTAAAGTTGCCGTCGAATTGGTCACCGTATTCGATGAGTGACCAAAAATCACTTCGAGGGGATGAAAGGGTTCCGAAATGACATGTCTAAGGCGGTGAGAAACTCAGTGGGTTGTGTCTGTGGAAGAATTGCTTAAAGTACCGTACTGTAGTAGTATAAATTATTAGCCAGTAAATTAGTTGTGTGTCTGGGATTATTAATGAGGGTAGTTCTTTCAAATACACCCGATATGAGATTAAATCACTGAAATGCGTCATCTCGTCACTGAGTCGTATTGTAATACTTTAAAAAGTATCTTTTTCGAAACTGTATACTGAAATTTTCTTATAATATAAGGTTAAGGAACATTAACTATTACTACACTAACTACTGTCCCGGTAGATTTGTATTGAAAGAATATTCATGAAATCTTAAAAATATCTTATTATTTTATTTTATTGCTTATATTTATTTCATCCCATATCATATCATCTCATTTCATTTCATTGCAATGCATTTCTGCCATGTTTCATAATATCAATCAACTTCATTTTATTTCACTTTATATTTATCGTTTGCAGGGTTAATTACAACATTAATCAAATTACTTCCCCAACCTAATTTGTCTATACCGTCCCACGCTGGTAATTTAATTCATACTTACACTGATATTAATAGTGCCCAACATGGATAATTTCCTTCGTTATTTATTATTCATCAATTGTAAATAACTAAAACGGTGAATTATAAAAATCTTATTACTTGATAAAAACCGTGCAGGAGCCAAAAAAAATTTAAAAAGTGTACTATTTATGTATGTATGTTGCAGCTCAGCTAATGCAAGGCGGCGTGAAGAGTGCAGTCCGTGGCGGCACGGTGCAGGTGGTGCGCGCCGCCCGCCCCGCGCCCCGCCCCGCCCACACCCCCGCGCACACGCCCGCACACACACCCACGCACACGCCCTCACACACGCCCACGCACACGCCAGCAGGTAAACATACCAACATAGTACATACTTTTGAACTGTATATCGAATAGAATACAAGCGCCATCGCAGAGCATTTTTTATGATTTCATTAATGTGTTTAAGAGCATTTAAGCGGAAACTGGCGTTAGGTTTTGGTCCATATCGATGTATTTCCCTGTTCTTTCCTCGCCTTTGAGTAAATATTATATCATCGCGACGAATTAATAACCACCATAACATTAAAACTTTAGAATCTCGACATTTAAACAAAACATACAGACACGGTCAAAGAACAAGTGAATACGTTGTAGATTTCGAATATTTGCATAAGTTTTTATAAGTTTTTTGACGTGACAACGTCTTACAATTCGATGGAGCCGTCTGCACGCATGAAAAAACATGACTCATGAGGCGTTCCATTTAAGGCTTGAAGTGCAAGCGAGAGCCTGCAACGAGCGACAAAGAGGCACAATCGGCCTCCGCGTTCGGCAGCGTTCGACATCTGTCTCTTTCCTACTTGAGTGAACGATGCATCCGCGTGGACAGCTGCTATACAATAATACATTTACATCTTTTCGTCAAGTATGAAGTTCAGTGAAAAGTGAATGTGGTGTCAATTGTTTATAGCAAACGATAATTGCGATAATTGAAAAATGAAACCATTCCATCAGTATTTTCTTATGACGTTGTCACGTTCGACTATCGTCAGTAAACCGACTTTACAGACAACCGATTTTTTTAGGCCTAACCGCAGTGCTCTCTTCGAGGACGTTTGAAGAAGCAGATCAATGTAATTCGAACTGTTTTTCATATTTTTCGATACCCAGTTTCTTCTTCAGTGGATTTTCAGTGAGAGTTAGTGTGATGACCTATCCTTCCTTCCTTCCTTTTAATAACATACGAATGATAAATTTTGTAATATTGTTGCAGGAACCGCCCAGTTCATAACGCAGGCGCAAGCGCAAACATTAACGGCTCAGCAGGTCCGAAGAAAATCGAACGCAGACAGTTCATAGTAGTGAATTCGGACTTTCGGACTTTATGTCCTACTAGTGAAAACAAAATGTTTACCTAATTAATAGATAAATTATTGAAAAAAAAATACAAGCGAAAATTCGCTTCGGACTAGTATCTCACGCACGTACCTATCGACTGCGGACTGTAATCCACCAACTACTTAGGTAAATTTATCCCGAGGATAAATAAAACGTAGGCTTGTCAAAATGTTTATACGTAGGCGACTGAATAAAAAAAGTTAAGGTTTCAATATGTAACTAATTATATTATGTGTATGGGAATACACAACATCAATAGATTTTATGCGTCGAACGCATGCGTTTGTAGATCGTAATGACTGACATTCTTTTAATTTAAATAATATCGAAATAGTTTTTTTTTTCATTTTCATATACCAGTATGACGTCACTTCGAAATAACGTAAATATATTTATTTGATCTTCGTAATAGCGCAATTACATATAGTCTGGAATGTTCTTCATGAAAAAAAAACCAGATTTGTTTGAAATTGAATTTAGAACGTAATTGGCGCGAATTTTTTTTTTTATTAATTCTAAATTTTAAAATTGTTGCACAACCATGAATTCGTATCGTAATCACAAGACAGATGTATCGTTTCTACATTAACTAATATCAATCATGTGTATGTATTTATTGTTTTTAAAAGTCACAAATAGTTATTTATGTATGTAAATATATATATATCGGTTGCGTAAAGATTTTTAACATAACATTGACACTGAAGGAATTTTATCATGACATGAAATGTGTTTGATGCGAGCCCGCGTTGGATGTGGTAATAAATTAAGGGTCGAAACTTATGTTATTATTGGCGTTGTTCGTCGTTGTTTATGTGTAGTTGATTTTTGTTGGTTAGTCTTCGGAATTTGTTATAAACTGTTCGTTTTTAAAAACATTAATAATAAGGTGACTAAAAGTTCATAATATGATCGGGGAACAGAAAATCATGCTCTGCACTAATAGACATTCGTGATCAGTATTAAATCATTGCACGCAGAGTATACCGCAACTGAACAATGAAGTACAATAATAATTCAGTGATCAAAGAATCTACGTTAATTATATTTTGTAAATACTGTAACATATACTAATTACTAAAATGCATCACATTTACGTTGTGTGAGTATGTGTGAATGGAATACGTGTTGTTTGTTCTGCTGTTACAGGGCGTAGGTATCGAAGGAATCCGTCTTTTTAAAAGAACTAGTAGACTTAATTCGGAGAATACAAAATTTGAGATGCACACATAAATATATCGACGCTTGAAAGGCAAACGTGACTAAGCGACAATGCGTGAACTTTACAGTAGACTAATTTAATGTTGAAATACCTGAAAAAAATTCTATTTTAACGAATCTAGCTGTAGGGCTGAAATGATTTTAATAGACCTAGAAATATTTTTTTTTTGCGCATCGAATATGGTTATTGCCCATCATTTATGTATAAAGCAGTTATTGTCGCTTAGTCACGTTTGCCTTTCAAACGTCGATATGCAGTGTAATACAGTTCGACAACGAATAAAAACAAGTTCCTGACTACAATAGTACAGTTACTATTTATTGTTTTATATTGTAATAGTGTTGTTGTATCATCGACATGGGAGCCGAAAGGTCGGATTGCAATCTCTATTTCAGTTTGTATTGTGGACTGGAAATAACTCAATTGGGATTATATTAAATATTGTATTATTTTAAATGAAAATAGAACATACCGTTGAATTAAACAAAAAGTCGTAGTATTTTTTTGCCTAATTCAATGAGTATGAGTTAATAGGAAAAGTGGAGCATAGGGAATATATCTGGCCATCTCATGTACGCACTCAATCTAATTAATACAAATGACGATTTTGGCTTTTTTTCTGTTATACAACTGTTAATCACTCTGACCACCAGATTAATAAAGATCTCTAATTTAAATAAAAGGATTTAATAAGTTGTAACTGATCTTTTTTATACGATAATTTTACGTCATTCAGTAGAAAATCGATTCGGTCAGATAGGCACGGGCGTTATCATATCAGCTATCGATAAATTGGGATGTGTACCAAAAATGTAATTTTCATAGTCTTCAGGTAATTAAGTATATGATACGCTATATTACCCATGTATGAAAGCATCACATAATAAATAGATCCGTAGAAGATATATTCATGTTTTTAGTCACTGCTAAACATTGAATAAATTTGACCAGTACGCGGTATGGTTAGCTAAATGACGTATGCAATAACACATTTTACCGCTAAACATTTTTTATATTGCAAATCAATGACAAACTAAAGTATGTTTTAGTACAACAGGTCCTTATTCTGGTTGGATTTAGGTTCATTTTACTTAAAAAAAGGGTTTAGTGGTTTGTAGCGTTCAGTTTGAAATCCTTAAATCGACCTTTTGGCTTTTCAGCCGAAGTTTTTATTTTACTACAATTCTGTACGTATCAAATGACGTTTGAATAGATGGATATATTGTCATGTCTGTGGAGTTTCCGTAGCGAAACTAAAGACCTTATGAGATGATTGGGATCAATGAATAGTTCACAATTTATGCTGAAGGCGTTTCAACGCTATTTAGTTGTAAGGTACGGCGTATTCCATGCTCGACGAAGAAACGATTTTGTTTTAAACGTATTCAGTTCTGGAAGGTTCTTGTAAAAAAAATGACTTGATGTTAAACATTACTTTTCATATTTCCTTTTGAAAAATAGTCATTGCTTTCATTAGGAACTTCGTCCGTTTTGTCGTCTCTACGATTTGCACAAAGTTTTAGTTTAAATGTCTATTAATTAATAATAAAATAAAACTATTAGTAAATTTTAACACATCGATATGTTAAAAACAACGTTACCCGATGTAATAACAGCAATATAAATACCGATCGTTCAACGTGCACTTAGATATTTAATTTCGAGTTAGAGCATCAATGTGTTTTTAATATATTTTTATTTAATCGATGAGATGTGTTCATAATGGCATCTACGAAATGCCTAGTGTTAGTGGTAGATGAACGATACTCTACTACTACTCTATACTCTAGGTGTGCGATAGGACGCGCGAACGTAGAGCCTCGGATCTATTCATCGAAGGGCACATCGTCGCGGAATGCGTTGTGGCGGTCCGTAGACGCACGCGTCTGCGGTGAGAGCGGGGGAGCACACGATGCATTGCGGCGCCGCACTGCAAAGATTTCACCGTATCGGTGGGCATATGAGCGGTGCGGCGTCGCAACGTTGTTATGTCGCAGCGACGACGCCGGCGCCCCAGCAGCTCTGGACAGGCTGTTAATAATAAATAATAGTTTAAAAAAAAACTAAAAAACACGCGTTATATAAAATTCAACTAAAAGATAGAAAATAAATTGTAATTATTAAATTCATTTTCTATTTTTTAGTTGAATTTTATATAAAGCGTGTTTTTTTAGTTTTTTTAAACTATTATTTATTTTTCATTTTTTAGTTGAATTTTCTATAAAAGCGTATTTTTAAAACTATTAAGTACTTTAACATCAATTCCTGCCTTATCGACTATAGATAAAAATTAGCAAAAATCTTATTTTGCAAATTGAATAATGGAATAATATTATCAAATTAGTGTATTGTTATCGGTCCTCGATAAATCTACAAAGTTTGAATGAAATCTGGCTCTTTAAAGTGGGGAAAAATCGCGTCTAAAGGAGTCAGTTACAAACATACATACAAGTGAAGCTAATATAAAGTGTGTAAATAGTCTGTGGCGGCGTCAACGTCGCAACGCATTCACCCATTGCCACTCCCCACGCCCCCGCCCGCCGCACCCCCGCCGCCGCAGCGCGTGTGACCCGCTCTAAGATACGCAGCACGACGCGGCGCTGTGCGTTTCGTTCGACAGGTCGAAGCATAGTTTTGGTGTGCACCTCACGTCGGTATGTAGGTGAATTGTGCGAATTGTTGATCTCATTTGTTTATGGACGTTTAGCTCAATGTGTAGATGTTTTTTTTTTTTTTGTAAATAAAAACTTTATTTGAAAATACGCGAATGTACCTATATTTTAAGAGATAATAAAATTATTACTGTATATATTTTGGAATGGAGATTTTTATACATAACCGATATTATTATTATTATTAATATTATTTTCAATGGTTGTAATGTTTCAGTGTCAACTTCTTGCGTGTAACATAGTTTGTAAATATTAATTTAATTGAGATGTGATATGCATTCTGACGTTTATAATATTAGGTGTACAATAAAATTTATATGATTGCGTTGACATGGAATTTGTGTATAAAATTGATATTGTAAAAAAATAACATGTGTACGTTGTTCAGAGATTGAAGTTTCGAACATAAATAAATAAATTTTACACGAATTCATTGTTTTTGAGATTGGCTGCGAGCGTGATTATAGTGTTTCCATGTCTGTAGTTTAACTTATTACTTTCATTTCCCTGGACCACTCTAACTTAAATGCCAACACTTACCTTGAGACATATCGTATAAGGTTGAAGTCCCTTCTATATTGATCGGTAATCGGAAATTCTAACTGACTGATCACAAGTATATCATCTTATTTCTTATCTGTTTTTTCTCTTTATTTCTTTTTTATATTAGACCTACCTTGGGCAATGTTGACAGTGCCCGTTGCAAGCACACACGGGCTTTAGTACCGCTGAACTATTTCAATTACGTTCTGGTCTGAACAGCGTTTTGTTAACACTATATGTGTCTATGGATTTCGGTATGTCCACCTATGTAAAATTAAAAGTATTTTTTCAATTAAAATCTGAACGTCAGTTTGAAACTGAACGACTGTGTGTACTGTCCTTGTGTATATTTGACTCTCTTAGTTTTCTTAGAAGATTGTTCATTTATGAAGGGATTAAAACAACACCTTGGTTAAAAAAGTATGCCTTTTTATTCTTCAAATAGTTTCATCATCTAATTTTATTATAAGAACATTGGACACAATCGAAGCTTTTTACGATAAATAAGTATAAATAATTTTTATATTCACATAAATCGTCTTATTTATACATACATTACATTTATTTTTAATATCAGTCCTCTCAAAAGGTCCATTCTCTCCCTGCAAATTAAATATATTATTTACACAGCGATAGGGATTCGCGTCTACCGTACATACATCAACAAATAACAATTAATAGAGACTATTTACAAAATACATTTACACAGGTACCCGCGCGGTCATTCGTCACCGTTCACTCACACGTTTTGTTCACCACAATCACGCTAACATCATTTGGCATATGGATGGCGGCACATCACTAGCAGAGATCGTCCCAGGCGAGCCACCAGGGCGCTCGACAATCCTCGCGCTTCCGTCGACGGCGTTCGGCTCGGTCTGATCGTTTCTTGACGAATCTAATATTGTAGGGGTCCTCGGCTAATTCTGGATATCTCGCAACGTCGTGGACGTATTCTCCCTCGTAGCCAGATACTGAACCAGATTTCTGGATCTCATCCAGTTCGGCAGCAGACCATTCAAAAGAGCCGCCCATTCCGCTTCGTAGGGCTTCACGCTCACGATGCCACGCCTTGCGCACCGCGGCCGCCCGAGCGTGATGCAGCAACCGCTGTCTCTCTCTCTCGGCGCTCGTTCCATAACGAAGATTTACAATACTGGTTTGTCCGTGAATCTTAACGTCTGCATATGAGCGTCCTCCTTCAGACACCTCGTGGAATGTAACATTTAACTTGCCCTGCATACGTTTAAGTTGTTGTTTGTCGTCAGCGGCGCGCCACGTTTCTTCCTTAACAAAGTAAAATACGTCCTGTTGGTCGCCATGAACGACAAAAGAGAACGGTAAAAGATGTGATCGATTGAAAACAGATGTATAAACATCGCGGTAGATGGCGTTGGCGGATGGAACGGCGGTGACGACAGCCCTTCCTCGGGAGTTTCGAGACACCAGAATACCTCTTCCGAAGGGTGGCTCAGAATCGGAGCCGATGCGTTTTGGAGCCAGATCGAGCGCATCTGTTTTCAAGGCAGACATAGCTGGAATCGATAAACTTCTGAAGTCTGCTATTCTTTTATTTGACATGTGAGATAGGAATCCAGATTCAATTGTCACACTAGGAAGCAACGACATTCCAGATGGAAGACCAGGACTGCTTGCAGTAGGCGCAGTACCCCAGACAGGTCGCCCTTGCGGAATACTGGGTAGTACTGATCCACCGGGAAGTTCATCTGGATACAATTGAGGAGCCAAGCTTTTAGTCTCATAGCCCAGTAGTTTTAACCATGACAAGTGATCTGAAACAAGTGAAAGTTATATAATTTAAGTCAACAATAATAATGCCTTCAGTTCCCATTTAAAGCACTGAGGGTAGAGTTTTTTATACGTTAGGTATATGCTGTATATAGCGGCATGCGCGTTTTGGCATCTATGGTCTCCAGTAACCGTTTAAAATCATTCTTCAAACGTTTACTTTTTCATCTTGTGTAAGATCTATCCACGCTGTGCATGTGGGTGCGCCATCGCTACTCGAGATTTTTTTGACCCCGGGAGTAATTTGTTCTACGAGCAATGTGACCTGCCCAATGTCTCTATAACTCATGTCGGTTACTATGGTTCTCCTGAGAATAAATCTTTCGATCGCATAAGAAAAGTCTGGGGCCAAGTATACCGCTTCACAATAGGTGGGTTCAATGGTGGTCTAGGGATCGTAGCTTATGAAAAATATTCTGCACTATACCGAAATTTTCATTACCGCCAATTTCATTATTGCTCACAACGTATTTCCATCATTCAAACTACACCACTGAACATTGTTTCAAGGGTACCATTAGCAGTTTATGAAAAATTTGAAGCCGCTAAACTCACCTGTTGGCTTCTTAAATTGCGGCCTAACGTTGATTGGGTCATTTCCATTAAATCTGTATAAATGTAGTTCAGTTGGGTTGTGAATCCTTTCTATTAAATTTTCCCACAGCGGAGACATCCACTGCCCAATAAGCGGATCGTATACTTTTCCGTTGGCCATGTGTACTAATGAAGTTACTTGATCCAACAATCCTCCACAAAAGTCAACGGGTAAATATAGATAAGGATTGGAATCGTAAACTATGTGCCCGTATGGTGATCTCATAATTTCTCTTATTCCTTCGCCGTACTGATTGAATACCATGACTGGTGTTCCACATTGGTCAGTTGCAATGTAATATTTATGACGCGCAACCTGTAAAAGATTTTTTTTGTAATTGTGTTTGTCAATTTTATTCTTAGATTTGTTTATCATCATGTTACAAAATAAATATGGATTGATTAATAGTAATTATAATATATTGAAAAGTTTACCTGTGTATAGATTAAATGTCCTCTGTCATCGTAAACCAATGTCATAAAACGATTTTCTCTCGGAGAGTAAATATGGCTTACTTCGTGAGGTTTTTCTTTGTTCGTGTAGAAGAATTGTGTAACATTACCGAAGTTGTCTTTTCTTGTTGAAAGTCTGTAATGTAATAAAATGTAAATATGCTTACATCATAACGGCTCAAAACGGTATACAAGACTTCGTCATAACAAATGAATGAATTACCTATCCAAATGATCATAGTAATATCGAACATCAAATCTTCCTCGCTTCGTTGCCCTAATCAACAAACCCTTTGAATTGTATTGGAAGCGTTCCTCCCTGGCGTTTTGAGATACGAGGCCACGACTGTCATATCTGTATTGTCCCTCGCCGAATTTGATAATACGGTCCATGTCGTTGTATTCCATAGGGATAGTGTTTCCTCTGTACGTCAAAGATAACATATTTCCATTATCATCGTATCTGAATCCCCAAGGTTCCTGGGCTTCAACTCCAGTTAGTTGACCATCACAGTCCCATGTATAGTTCTTAACGTTGGTGTATGTATTAACTCCCACGTTTCTAGTGTGAGTACGCGTTTGAGAAATTCGTCCATGTCTATCATATGAAAATTCCATTCTGAACACTTCCATTCTATGAATATTAACAGATACTTCTTTTTCCAAGAACTGGTCATTTAAAACACGTGAGAACATCGCTATCCCATCATACACTGACGTCTCGTTCCATCTTTGTTTAGAAACAGTAAATTGACCTAATATTTCTGGAGCACCGGTTTTGCTGTTGTATACAATGTGATACGGTATTAATGTTTGACCGCCAATACGTCCTTGCACAGAAGTTATTCTATAGTTGTTGTCATATTCATAAATTATTTTTGCATTGCTGAGGCCGGTTTTCGCTCCATAATCTAATCTTTCTTCTGTCAGTAGTCCTCCTATGTAGGTAAATTCCCAACGATAATCTACGTCACGATCAACATGTAAAATTTCTGATGGAAGACCACTGTTTTCTGAATAATGTATTTGAGTTTGTCCGTCACCGTGAATAACTTCAGAAACTTTGTTTGTAGTGAAATAACGATATACAACTCTGGCTCCGTCACCCGGGAAAACAGTTTGTAGGAGTTCGCCTGTGTGTGAATAATGCTGCAAATATTTCTTTGATGAACCAGAAGGTGTATATGTTACTCTCAGAAATCCTATAGATGGTTGTACGCTAAATGTGTGGTTGCTTCCAGAAGGTAAGATCACGTGAGTGAGTCCGCCTTCCTTATCGTAGGTGTACTTAAAACTGCGTTGACTGGCCAAAGTTATTTTGGAGACAAGATTGCCTTCGTTATAATAAATAAATTTGGTACCATCTTGCGGGCTCGATATTTCTGAGAGCATTCCATGAGGATCATAGCTATATGTTTCTTCACTTTCACCCCACTTCCATCCGTTGATTCTATAAAATCGGTCATATGAAATATTTAGAGGCATACCAGCGCCATGGGGATTAAATGATAATGGCAATCCGGCGACATCGTACGAGATAGTAAAAAGCAGGTTTCTGTCTGTATTGAAAAATGTTTCTTTGCTCTTGAATTGATCAAATTCGATTATTAAAACTCGAGAGTCATTTACCCAAATCTCTCGATTCAATGTCTGTTGTGGATTACGTACATCGCCAACTAATGTATAGAGAGAATACATGTTATTAGTTAGTCCATCACCGAAGGTAGTGGTTTGATGTGACCACATATGAAGCATTTCTGCTTCGATAGGTAAAGCAGCTTCCAATAAAGGATGTTTGGCTGCTGCGATACTCTCAAGTTTACCAGACCACGGCGTATCAAGAACTAAAGTATTGTTCGTGAAAATGCGCCCTTCAGTTATTTGTTTGCCGTTATTGATTGTGATTTGTTTAAAGGATTGACCATGTAAGATATATTCGCATTTCTTAGCAACGCCAATAGGTATTGAGCTAGCGGGATTAGATACAGTAACCGCTAATCCATAATTCTTTGCTAGTCCCGAAGTTATAAGAACTTGTTCACCAGAAGGCATTATTATTTTAGTTACTCTTCCAAGTTCGTCGTAGTTATAAATAACAGTTTCTCCAGCCTAAAAATATAAATTAGGTATTACTATAAATTGTGACACTTTAACGGAAACACCTGATTGACTGAAAACTTACCCCCGATCTGCTGTTGAGTAGTCCCGTACTAGTATCATAATCAAATTCCATATCTGAAGTGCCCTTTTCGGCTATTTTGGTGAGATACCCGATTCCAGATANAGTTCGTCGTAGTTATAAATAACAGTTTCTCCAGCCTAAAAATATAAATTAGGTATTACTATAAATTGTGACACTTTAACGGAAACACCTGATTGACTGAAAACTTACCCCCGATCTGCTGTTGAGTAGTCCCGTACTAGTATCATAATCAAATTCCATATCTGAAGTGCCCTTTTCGGCTATTTTGGTGAGATACCCGATTCCAGATATCTTTAGTTCAAGTTTGTGGTCTTGTGTGTTCTCTATAGAACTAACAACGTTGCTATAATCGCGGAGTAATTGTATTTTATTTCCTGAAGCATCTGTTACCGTTGATAGTTTACCGAAACTAGTGTTTTTCGAATATAAAAATGAGTATCTTGTTTTACTCGATGTTAGGTCTTTAGTTGTAATGTGTTGTCCGTAACGATTAAACACATAAATCTCGGAAGTCGGTGGATAGGGAATTCTAAATTCACCATTCTCGTCATGAGAAGGTAGATAATGTCTTAGTGCTAGAATATGAAGAGAGCCTGGAAGAATTATTAGTTATTATAAATTTATGGTACAGTACTGTGCTTTATTCGGGAGACAATATTGCTTAGTGGTGCCAATCACTTAGTTGTATGTAATTAAATAGGTCATAGCTAACGGTAAACACCCTTCTATGAATACAAAATTAACATTGTAATAATTTTATATAATTTTCAATTGTATAAGGCCCATGAGCGAATTTATAATGTAACACACACAGGTCTTAAAGGGTTTTTGTGAACTAAACTTTTTTTTACAAAAAATAAATATGTTTTAATACATAATAAAACTCATAACGATTATGAGTAAATGTAATATTTGTTAAAGCGTTTTCTGTATCAATGCTTTTTTCAGACCTCTTCACAGTAACAAAACAAACACAACTATTTGGATTTTTTAACTTGATAATAGTATACTTGGTCCTCGTATAATATTTACCTTGATCAACGACGTTAAGAACTCCATCAGGGGTAACAGCTAAAGCCGATATTGTTTGGAATTTTGCATTAGAAGATAGTAGTGTTTCAGTGCTCGTCGGGGGTTCGTCTCCAGCAGCAACACTTAAACGGCAAGGGCAACCGGCCCCTTCGTCTCTATTGTTCAATGGAACAGCGGTAGCTGACATCGTCATATTGCACTCACAACTTAATTCCTTCAGATTTTCCGGTAATTTTCCAGCAAAGTGCATTATTTTACCGGACGGATCAATCGTTTTTATAGTATTTGTTTTCTTGGAGTCAGATTCCGCAACATATAAAATTCCACTAGGTGCAAAAGCAATAGCTAAAATTGTACCGAGATTGGAGTCTTCCTTAAATTCAGTGTTCGTTTTATTCGTTGCTTTAGTTATTGGTTTGCCATCACTTGTTAAACGACAATGAGATGGTTGACCAGCTATTACTTTGATTTTCATATCAACGGTCAATTTCAATATTATTCTATCATCAATAAAGTATAAAGATCCGTCAAGTGGAGATAAGGCCACACCAGTTGGCCATTGTAATTGTGCTTCATAGGGTGGTATAGCTCCTCGACATGGAACAGGAGACCAATGGTTGTGATGACCGTGGTGGCCGACTAATGTGTGAATGATGCCATTTGGATCCACAGCTCTTATGTTTGTTCCATCTGCGATGTACATTGTTCTATCAGCCGCTATCGCTAGCCCTTAAAAATAAATTTTAATTTAACTTTCTGGATAATGTGCTCTTAATTTCAAAGACGAACAAGAATTTTATATTTTTATACTACCTTTAGGATGCGCCAGCTTTGCCTTTATAGCAGGACCTTCATCACCGCAGTTAGAATCATCGCCTGGCACACATCTATCACCATTGCCAACAACTGGTTCGGAATTAACGGATGGATCTCGAACTTTTTCTAATGCAAGAACCCTTCGGACTTGGTGTCTTTCTGAGTCTGATATGTATAGGTAGCCGTCAGCTGGTGATATACAGATATAGTATTGGTAAGCCATTTGGGTGGTTCTGAAACAAGTGTCGATTTAAAAATATAAGAGATTTTTAATTGACTTGTAGTTATTTTAATTTATAATGTTTTACTATGTACTTACTCTAACTTAAGAACAGTTATAACAACACCTTCAGGGGTGATGCGTCGTACAAGGTTAAAATCACCAACGTACAAAGAACCATCAGGTCCAGACGTTAGAGCCGTGGGAGTCAGTAAACGCGAATCGGCCGCTTTACCGTTACAGTGATCTGGACAATCTAAAGCACGTTGCAGTCCAGTGCCCATTACCACCTTTAAAAAAGAAGTATATTGAAAAAAAACAGAACGTTAATTACCAGTGCACACTTTAGATTTGCCAATTATTACCTGTACAGTTCTAGGGTATTGCTTTAAGTGGAGTAAGGCACCATCTCCCTTTTGTAGTATGCCTTCGTGGAAGTTATAATGGTGATGTATGTCTAGACCCCATCCTCCAATATCCGAAATATCAACACCAAATCCAGCAAGAGTAGCCGTTTGTGTTTCCCACACTATCGAGGCGCAAGATGAATATTCATAGCCGATTGAAATCTTAGCTTGTGCCTGACCATACACCTATTGTACAAGAGATGCATTGTTAAATAATAAAATGATTAAATTAAAAAAAAAACTTGGGTGAAGTGTCACAAGAGCTATGATTTTCATTTTCTTTGTAACGTTGTTCTTAGTAACATATATTACATAAAATATAAATGTGAGGGTTTGTATGCGCTCGTCACTCAAGCATAAAAAGGTCATAATTTAACGCAGATGAAGCCGCGAAGTCACGTCTGGTTTGTCATAGCTCTAGGTATTTTCTTAGATTTTTTAGTTTACCTTTTGCTTATAAACATTTCTTTTGCTCCAAGCGAAAACATGAGTTAGGTCCGGGTCCGCTTCATAAGTCTGCGTGTGTAAAGATCCTTCGATTTCAACTCTGACGTGTACTCTTGAGAGAGCCGCAGGTACTATTCGGCGAGTTAGTTGGATATGGACACAAGATAGATAGCCCGCAGCTTGAGAAGATCTGTATGTCAATTTAACTGACGAACCAGGAATTCCAATAGACTCGCTCACGATCTGTAGAAAAATATTAATTGAGTAAAATAATTATTGGTTAATTAATAATACTGTTGCACGTTTCTTTTAGAAATAGTTAGATTTTTATCTCAAGAATTGAATCCGGCTTGAGAATATGATTAATTATCTATTTGAAATTTAACTTTCAGTGTAAATGTGGATAACGATGAAAAGCAACTCTATTAATTGCTAACAAAAAGTGGATGAAATAAAAGGAACACCAAAAGAAGTAAGTTACTCCATACGGTACGTTGCAACGGATACCACTAAGGATATAAACCAAGGAAGTTCACTGACGTTAGGCAGGCGGCTGGCCGTATATCTTATGACAAACCTCTGTGCAGCGTGATGTGAGGACATGCTGTATCGACCCGACATAATGTGGGAGAAGGGCGAGAAGAAGGAGATGAATAACGTATTTAATTCATTCTTATTTCGACAAATAACTACCGAGTCATTATTAAGTCAAGACTAACTCTAATACCACATCTCCATGGAAAGACGATGACGGAATAAGAAGTTTTATGAAAATGACATGGTATAAATTTTATATGTAAATGAAACATAAAATGTGACATTTGTATTGCATGTATTATGTACTCGTAGTTCAGCTCATTATGACCTGACGCAGGTAGATGTAATCAAACTACTCGCTTCTTTGTGTCGAAAAACTTATTCTTTCTGGTTTGAAGGGTATTATTAAGTATTATTTATGACAATAAAATTCAATTTTTTACCCCGTTTCTCGGGACGGTCGGATGGGTGGATGCTACAAAAATTTTTTTGAATCTTTTAACACCAGATGGCATTAACTTCATTTGCCATCTATAGCAATAATGAATAGCGGTCTTACCTGCGCCTCCGGATAAATAACGGTGGTAGTCGTTGCTGAAGATGCAGCTGGTGCTGCCAGTGGTGGTACGGCTACCACTTCAGGTCTGAGTCGCTCGTGGTCATGTGCTGCACACGGTGGTGACTCGACTTCCCACCATTGAGGACTTGGAGACCAGTCGATACGCGGAGGAGCCCTAAATACGGGTATGTTCGTAGATATCATGATCATGTTTTTTTTATTATCTGAATTAATACTGATTAATTAAGTTTAAACACAGTATTAATTATTACACGCTCAAATGTAAACTATACAAGTAAGATAAAATCAGTATTTTTACATTAGCACACTTCACCTTCAGCACTAGCAAATGTACAGTAGGTAATGTTAGTGACAAAAATGTCGGTAAATTTCTATGTTACTCTTTCAAATGTAATGATTATGCTTGAATTAATGAAGAAATTTATTTTAATGGGACATGAGCAAACCTTGGTGTCGGTACTTTGACATTGTCGTCACTGAGTTCCATTTGCACTGGTGGCAATACGACTATTTGGTTCCATGGAACGAACACAGTCTTCCGAAGAGGCTTGAAAGGAGATCGCTGGAACTGCAGGGTCACTGCTCCTCCCCCGTTCACAAGTACGTCGAACCTGTTTTGTGGAGTCACGTTTAAAGTCATTTAATGATCCTCGACAAATCGATCTATTATAATTCCAATACAAAAAAAGTTTTCTATCTAATTCAAAACGCTTTGTATCTTTATAGTAATCAATTCACTTATTGTTAGATATACAGTTAGTCCACATTTTTTGAGTTACGATAATTATTAAAACGTAAGCACATAAACAAAAGTAACTAAAAAAGATTAATTAAAAATTATGAAGCAGTCATTTTTAAATTTTGCTAATTTGCGTTCTATCGTTGGCAGTTGTTTTAATTGACTATTGGACTCGATTAGTTCCTTAAGAGGTATTAACGGTCAAATAGAAAGGTGAAAGAAAATGTCAATTATTTTTTAATACGCCAGGCGCATGCTCCAAGCAGGTGCATTGTAAGCACGCGAATGCGACTCGAGGTCATATGCCCTATCCCGGTATTATTTTGAATGAGTCGTTGCGATTGTATTTTAAAAGAGTTATTGTCTATAAACTATTGCTTAATTCCAAAATTTTACCGTTATCATGTATAGCGTGATTGTTATTGACAATGAAAGTTTCCCGTGTGCTACGTTGATATCGAATGACCTTTTTATAAAATCACGAGCAAAATAAAAACCATACGTCTTCACAACTATAATAGATCTTAATGTTAATCGCATCATAATTACTGCATATTTCAAATTAGTTACTTATCTTAAATGTATATAAGAAAACGCATTATGATATCAATTACGATTCATTGAAGATTTTAATCTTCACAATGCATTATTTACTTAGAGTGATCGGCGTATTTACAAAGAATAAAGTGGTCCGTTTGTTTAATGATATCTTGTAGGCGATATTTTGAGTAGGCACGCGTAGGCCTACAGTATCATGGATTTATGGTAATCGATATTTAAATGCTTAAACGTGACATGTTATTTGATTACTTGTTCACATGATACTGGTTCCGTTCCGCCGTCGAGTAATTCGATTTCATACTTGATGCTTTTACGGTATACGTGCGTTGAATTCACGTAGACCGTGGCCGAAGCTTAATGACGATTGTATGTTAAATCAAACATATTTTTTTTGTATCGGCTGTTAAATTTTTCGTTCGAACATTTTCCGTAGTCACGCGATTTCGGATGTTTTTCTTTCGGTAAGCTTTTGATACGCATGCTTGTACTATTAAATAATAATTTTAGTGTTTACATAATACATACCGTTGAAATTTATTTTCAACGGTGTTTTTACGTTTTTATTTTCGAGTTTGCGTTAGTGAGTTGATGGTTTTGTTAGTTTATTTCTGAAGGAAGATGACATGTTTATGAAATTTATAATTAAGATTTTAGTGATATTGCATTTTGTATCTTGATAACAAAAATTTTTGTTTTTCCATGAGAAATACTATATTATATTTTAATTTTCAATTTAGAGGTTGACTACATCAAATGTTTTTATTTAATAAATCAATATCATTTGTACATTTGCTAATAATATATATTTCTGTGAATTTTATATTTGCCAATAAACAACAGAAAATTGCTAAAAATTATACGTACCATCCGCCCTGTCTTGTGAGGGTAAATCCGAAGCGAGCCTCTCGATCCACGGAGACCCTGATGCCAATTATGCCGAGTCCTTGAGGTGACACCACCTGCCCTCGCATCACCGACACTCGGCTGCGCAGACCAGCTCACGTGAGCACGACACTCAGTGCTTAGTGCCATAGCACGACATCCGGCGATAAAGTTCCATTACACGACATTTCGAATGATCAACTTCGTTTTAATATGACATGAATAAACTTTGTGATGAAGGTATGTGAAAAATTATCATTTTAAAATATAATAATAAATATTGAAAAAAGTAAATTTAATTTATGTAATCGTGTGAAACATATCGCCCGATGACACCGCAGTCATGGAATTTGAACCATGGTGTGCTTTGTTATATTTAATAGAATGAAAGTGAAATTATGAACATAACAATTTTGAAAAAAAAAATGAAGTTTTTAGCATTGCACATTCTCGAATTAGGATCAGCTAATAAATTCAGGATAAATTTCAGTTTTACTTTAATTCTAGACATTAAATTGTATATGACAATTCGAATTCAAAACTGATATTTACCCAGTAATGTATGTATGCATGTAACAGCTGCCACATGGATCATATCCAATCAACGTTTATATAAGTTTGAATGTTTAGTTTATATCGTATATTTTGTTGAGAAATTGGTGCAATTCCGATTTAATTTTCATTATCAATTTGTTTTAGTTTCATGTTGAATTCTACATAAATAAAACTAATTTCAAAACCAACTCCGGCTTTACATGACACATTTCATTTGACAAAATTTGTTGTTTGACTTATTGCAAGTTAGTTAGCACATCATCCCTTAACACGGATTATCTGATCGTCCGATAATTTGTAATGTTCGTAATTTTCCGATTTCTTTCGGAAAACCAAATTGGAAAGGTTCTTCGGGAAATTGTAATATTCACAAAACGATCTTAAAATTAATTTACATTCGGACAAGGCAATTTCTGTCGGGTCAGCTATTATTTTGTTAAGAGTAATTAATTATCTAAATTACTTTAGTAGTAGAATTAGGATTAGTTGTTTTTTTTATCGTTGTTGTATACTATAAAGTACAAGTTTTCAAATTACTAACAGAAATGTAACAATGTTGCTTTCAAATTATATATGACGTTGCGTGAAAATTTGCTAGTTTAGGCCGTTCAATGGCTAACTTCAAAACATTTAACATATTGTATCTCTCATCTAAACATCATAATTTAGGATATCGAATTATTTAATGATCTTTCATTTCCTATCAGCTTTCACAATTAAATTAGGAGGGATCTCGTGTTTTTTCACTAATATCGACTATCACGTATTGCTTATTGTAAATAGGAGTCGAAAGGAAACTTAAACAGTAGCCCTATTACATTTGAACCACATATTATTAGAATATAAACTTTGATTCATTAAGCACCTTCGGATTACTAAGTGAATTGGAATTTATTACTACATTCTATCATTAGTGTTCGAAGCTCCTGTTATTTCTTCTTGAGATTCCGAAAAACTAACACACATTTTATTTTTAACAGTTTCATCTTGTCAGTTTTATTACTTTAGAGTGTCTTGAATTAAAAAAAGCTCCAAGGCGCCCTTATTTTCTCGACATGACATTGAATAATGACATCCCGAGTCATTTTGTATTTTTTATTTTATTTAACCAATTCTCTTTTTAATTACTGAATAAAAAAACTGAACGATCTCACGACCCACCTGATGGTAAGCAACTACAGGAGCCCACAAACATCACCACGTGAAGGCTCTAATCCACCAGGAGACATGACGTCTATGTCTCAATTTGTAATATAACGACCGTAGTTTATTTGTGATATCAAGAGCCCTTCAAACCTGAAGACATTGCTCTACGCGGCAGAAATAGGTACGGTAGTGGTACCCGTGCAGGCTTACAAGTAAACCGTCCAGTATCTGTAAATAAAGCTACTATTTATCACTCGTCGAATTTCATTAAAATGATTTCTTTTAAATAAACCACTGAAAATCGCTTAAAGCCGAAAAAAGCTTGTGCTGTCTTTTAAGATTAAATGTGCTTTGGTACGAATAAGAAGTAGCAAGAATCTTGTTTCATAACTTTCTTACTAACTACTTACTACTCTTACTTACTTACTTACTTACTTACTTACTTACTTACTTGCTTACTTACTTACTTACTACTCTAACTGTTTAACTAATTTCTTAATCAATTATATAATATTGTTTTTGTTTAGTTCACAACACATTTGACAAAAGTAGAGCATTTGGGACTTTGGCTTTTGCTTCTTTACTGCAGGAGCCGAGATAGTTCTATCGCTTATTTATCTTATACTCCATTAATATAAATTATTTTATTTTTAATATTTATACCCATTTCCCTTTTCGTATATCTTTGTATCTTTATATTTTGATACATACCGTTAAGTTTCGACGAATTGGATCGCTTCGGTGATTTTAACTCAGAGAAATTTCAAAATATATAGAATTATTTATATTTTATATAGTCATCGGTGATTTCGCAATCCGTGACAATGTCGTTTTTAGTGATGAATAAACATGTCTCAATACTATAAGGTATTGTTTAAATAGTATTTATGATTGCTTCACTGGTGATTTTAAATGTCTATATCCTAAATGCTTTTATTAATAATGGTAGTGTCGTTAAACCAAGTCTGTGTCAACACCCATGTCAGTTTTCTATATTTAAGTATAATATTACATCTCATTTCATTGTAAGCTGGTGTTTTAATCAAGTAAATAAGTAAATAAACAACAATGTTTATTGATATTTGCTGTAGGCACATTTATCAAACCGATTACAGTCTGAATATAAAGTCTACTCTATAATTCTTGTAAATTTAAAATTAAATGTATTATTAAAATGCATGCAAGATTCAATCTTATAAAAATCGATCTTATAAAACGTGAGTAGGGTGAATGACGAAAAACATCCAACCCTCTTGTAGTTTAAGGGCCGTCTGTTGTGCTTTATTAGGTCGAACGTTGTCGTTGCAGCAGGGACGAGTGATTAACCAAGATAGGCCGGAGATTCGCGAGCTTCTCCATCATAGTGTACAGTTCCACACAATATGAATCCGCAGTAATGATGGTGCCATTTTGTAAGAAGCTGTTACGATTTATACGGGCACTAGACCACCAAACAATTACCTCGAGTTTTTTAGGGGTATAGTTTCGTTTGGGTCATTACGTAGGTGCTGAACCAGGGTCTAACCAACATGATGACTGATTACGATTAACAAAAATATCAATTTTTTTGGTCTGTTGAGCAATGCAAGGTCACCCTTAATGCATTCGTCGCGCCGGCGATGGTTCAGTTCGTGCGGCACTCACTTATCAAGTTTTTTACCTTTCCAATTTGACTAAAACGTTTTCTTTTTATGATTGAAGGATTACTGGAGGCCCGGAGGCCTTTCCAGTTACACCAGGACAGGTGGGGGAGAAAAGGCTCAGCCTGGAGTGGGATTTTCTAACAGCTGCCCGAGAGCCTCCGAAGGAGACCTAACAACTCAAGAGCAACTGCTTCGCAAATGAATCTACTACCGGATCGGAATCGCGACCCGCTGAGAAGATCCGGCGAGAAACTCAACGGGCTGATGCATGGGTTAGGTTGCGCTTTGACCTCTTTGTCGAATTCGACGAGTATGATTACCGTGGTCCCTAAGCCTGCTCCTAGTGTTAGAGCTGAAGACGTCTATTGCAAAGGTTATTGGATCTGATGGATCCGTAAGGACGTGAGACTAAAACGTACCAATATTGTTTTGATGCTAATGTTGAAAGCTGCTAATTCACCGGTAGACTGAGTATCGTCAGCTTCCACTATAGCCTTAAATTGGTTGTTGTTGACATTAGTTTTCAGGCGACCACGGGACTTATTTTGTAAATAAAATTTCGTATAATGTTCACTTCGTACACCTCATTAATGTTGTGTACCGTTTGTGTGGCATGCTACCGCGACGGAGCTCCTGTTATATAACTACTTGTATTTGTTATTGTGTCCATATTGATCAAAATAATACAAATGTAGTGAAAACAAAACACCAATCAATACAAAATTGAATAAAAATTAATTTGAGTTTAGAATTTATTCCCAGCGAAATCAAGTTTTAATTGGCCGGTATTCTAAAACTGCAACTTCAAAAGTAAAGACATTATTATTGTTTATTAATTTTCAACAGAAACTTAAAACATCGTAGGATTACCCAATCTCAATAAAATATAAACTTATTTTATTGATATATTATATATATTTTGTCGGGCAATCCTGTATTATATTTATATATCTCTCTACCTATATTATACCTAGTCAGGTCATAAATTCTGTCACATGTTTAATGTAAAATAATTGAAACAAGTTTATTCATTATGTAACCATTCATATACCAAAATGAACTTAACAAAACATAGATTCTTATGACACTAAAGTTTATTCAAAATGACCTCCGTGATTTTGAATACAGGCCTTCAATCTGCGCGGCCAGTCGTCTATCGCAGCACGAACGAGGTCCATGTCAATATCGGCGGCTGCCTTAATCAAGGATGTCTTGAGTGACTCCAAATTGGGATGAGGCTTTGAGCACGCCTTTTCCTCCAAGTGTTGCCATATCTTGTAATCTAA